GAAGGCCAATAGTGAGCTGTCGGCGATCAAGGAGGAGTTAGAGAACTTGAAGGACATAAATACATCGGATTTGGACAAACTGGGTAAGCGAACCAGCAACTAAATCTCAATTGAGAATTTCATTTCTAATAATCAACCTTCTGTGTTCTTTCAGAGAATCGGCTCACTGAAGTAGAGGGTAACATCATTCGAGTGAATCTAACTGGACGTATCGAGAAGTACCGGGAGCAGCGCAACATACAAAAGAAATTAATCGACAAATACGAAGCAGATTTGAAAGAATTATCCGGTGAAGTGGATAATATACGTTTGATATCTGAAGCACTGCCAAGTAATTGCTTTAGACGCAATCGTCTAGAGCCCTAGACATATAGACCCTAACTAAGTGCACTACCAACTACCAACTACTTCAATTAACAACTAAGTACGAGGCGAGGACGAACAAATGCGGAATTAGCCGTACCCGTAGCCGTTGAATGAAATTATGTAATTTTAGTCTTTTAGCTGAAATATTTTGTTTAGTGAAAGAAAGAAACAAAAGAGCCAACGATAAACAAGAAGTGAGCAACAGAAAATGCGAAACGTTTAGCTTTACAAAGCATCGTTCGATTTATTATTATCGTTATAGCATGATGCCGATATTGAAACAAATTCTCTAAACTGCCAATTGTGCTTTCGATTCAAGCCAGCCATTGACGACTGTATTATACTATACTATATATTGACAAACTGTGCCGTGTACCAAAACTTTCAAACAATATTGCATTTCTATATCTTTCCTCCCCTTTTATGGCTATGCCACATTGCAATCTATCCTATATATATACGTATATATATATATTAACATACATTTGTCATCTACGTTTAATGTGCCAATTACAATATTTTCTACTGTGCTTAAGTCGCCTTATGAATTTCACCTTAAAATAAAATTTTCCAACGTTGTAATTTTTTGTATAAAGTACGAAATTGATATTATTTGTTATTCATATTGCGCAACAGCAAATAGAAATTGCCACTCAACCGAAACACCTGACAAGGAGTCCAAAAAAAAAAAAAAGGTTAAGTACTATACATACATATTTAGATTCTCGTTGCTCACCTGAACTAGCAACTTATTGGATAATTTCGAAAAGCCGCCGACACTTAGTTTAAAGGTTCGCATCGAAAACAACAGCATTAGTCTTATAATAAGCTTAAAGTCCTCCGATTCGTTATACCATGCGCAGTTGTACCACTCGTCAAATAACAGTTCACTCTATAAGAAAATATATTATGGTCTGCATGTTCGAGCTCCTCCAGAATTACCTGTGTCTCCACCTTCTGCGCATTGACATTATATAAACTGATTTCGAAAAGAATTGTCAGAAAGTAAACAACTATCGTGGACAACTTAGAAAAATCAACTTCCTGCAATATTCGATAGTTTATAATAAAATCCTTGTAGATTTGGCATGTCTTACCATAATATTATAAAGCAGCATACACAAAAAAAAAGTGCTGATCCCGCACTGTACTAAAATAATGGAGCTGAAAAGGTTTTCAACCTGGGCACGATGTCTGCAGTTGAGAACCATTACAACTTATACTCAATTCAAATTAGGATGAGATCCTTACCTTGATAGTCGGCCAAAAAGCTTGGCACAGCAACGCAAATAAGCAACTCTCGATGCTTTAGGTACAATTTCATCATTTGTCGAATTTTCGACCAAATATCGCAGCAGCTCAAAGAGACAAGCCTCATGATTTGTGAGCACAACAAAGAAACTATTGAAGCCAAAGACATCTATGAAAGAAAACGAGAAGTAAATACATAAATATGGCGAACTATATATAATAGCCAGAGTCAGATCTTACTGCAAAAACAATAGATGGGACCAGCTTGCTCCACAAAAAATCGCACAGTGAAAGAGGGATATTCATGATTACCAATTTGAACGAAGGGCATTTTGGCGGGATATGCTATAAAACTCAAATTTCTTAAAGATATGCCACACTTTTTGATTTTTCAGCAAATAAACTCACTTGAAATTATGTTACAACTATTTCGCACTAAATAACAATCGTATATATATAGCACATAGGGTCGTGCGCAATAAAAAATCACTGGCAATGAAACGATTTTGAAGAAGAACATTACTTGATTATTAATACTCTTCCAGCTTTCTCTTATCTTTGTCATTAATGCATTGCACAAGACTTGCTTATTGGTTAAACCTGGATAAGAAATTGATTAATAAAAATGTATAATAAACTGAATCAATTTCCCAATGCTTACCCACATCAAATATACCCAAGTCCTTTAAGACATCACACGTTTCTGAGATCCGCATTAAATCTGCACAGACGTTGAGACGATTGTGATAATACACAATTTTGACTATGTTCATAATTATTTGAAAGCAAAGTACCATAGCCTGAAAGCGATTCGCAGATATTTGTTAAATGAAGTCTTAAACCGAGCCGAAAACAAACCTCAATATTGGTTTGAAAGGACACCGTATAATTTTCCAGAACAAAGTTCATGAGGCCGCACATAATATGGAAATTCAGCAAATATGCCACGATGCGTAAGCTAAACAGAAAATTTCGTAGTATAATGTCAAGTCTTTCCAGTCACATGAAGCACTCACAATCTGCAATATCGTGAGCTTCGCTTCCTGGGCACCACATTGATGCCCAATGTATAGCTGCAGTACTCCACCCATTTCACGCCCTGATTTGGCAACTCCATTTTATCTAACTCCTGATCCAATATGTTCGACATTCTGGGTGTAAATATTTTGACTGTGAACAGACATCTATTCACAACTAGCTTTTATAGTAAATTTTCAAAGAGAGGTTCATAGTCAATTAGTTTTAAATTATATGTTTTGTTGGCTGTATAACTAGGCAAATTACTTTATTATATTGAACATTGGGCAATATTGCTTAAGAATGCAAAAAAAAAAGAAAGCCCTAACAACGATATCATTAAAAATTAAATGAGAATTAGGAAGAATAATTGATGTTGGCTAGGCAACACATATTGAATTATTCGCTTTGATAATTTGACTACACTGGGCTCAAATTATCTAAATCATATAGCTGCACAGCGAATAAAAAAGGTATTTAAGCTTAACATACCGAGAGTTTATCTTATTGAATGTAATATACACCAAAGCTATAGGCGGCAAATTTTAATATGCGCTAAGAATTTCAAATTTTAACAGATTTTGCGGCAAAGGTCTTGTACCTAAGTTGGCAGCGCCAACAGCTGTTCGCGTTCGCAGAATGCAACAGATGGGCAGCACAGTCGTAATGTAAATCGCATATTGTTTGTTTACTTGCTTTCAAATAGTTTGCACTTGAGTTGAGCGTAAGAACGAGTGGCTAAAGGCTACGCCTTAATGACCAATATGAGCCCAGCCAAACAGGAACTGCTACAGCCGGTGAAGACAACGAATCCCATTGTCTATTTCGACATTAGCATTGGCAAGGAGTACGGTAAGCGAAACGAGCAGCTCTTAATCTGTGCTTGACCTAGTTAAACGTTATCGTATGTATGTATAATTTCCTATCTCGATTTCTGTGCACAGCGGGACGCATGATAATTGAACTGCGCAAGGATGTTGTGCCAAAAACAGCGGAAAATTTCCGTGCCCTCTGCACGGGCGAACGTGGCATAGGGCAACTGGGCGAGCGGCTGCACTACAAGGGCACGCGTTTCCATACGATCAAGCGAGTGTTTGCGGTTCAAGGAGGCGATGTTGTGAACAATGATGGCACCAGCGGCGACAGCATCTATGGGCCACTGTTTGAAGATGAGAACTTTGAGCTGACGGTGAGTGCAGCGAGGGGTACAAATGATTCATTGACAACTAACACCGTCTTGGCTACAGCACAATGAGGAGGGTGTGGTCAGCATGGCCAACTATGGCACGCCAAACACAAACAACTCACAATTCTTCATCACAGCCGTGGGCTGTGAGAACCTGAATGGGATCAACGTGGTTGTGGGCCGTGTATTGCGCGGCCTTGGCATCGTTGCCGAAATGGAACAGAACTGCAACGATGAAGCCCAACCAACGACAGATATAACTATAACAGACTGTGGTGAGCTGGCTCCAGGCGAGGATTGGGGCATTGAGTGCAGTGATGAGACAGCAGACAAACTACCACCCTATCCCCAGGATTGGACGGGCAAATTCAAGAAGCCAACGGTAAGAAGCCAGCGATCTATATTATGCAATCGTGATTCATGTTTAACATTTGTTGTTGTTCTTCGTGCTAGTGTGACGCGGCTGTTAGCCTCCTCACGGGCATGCGTCAGTCGGGTAATCACTTCTTTCAGCTGGGTCGCTACTATGAAGCACGAGCCAAATACCGGAAAGCGAATCGTTATTATACGATGCTGCGCCGCAACTTTGACTGGCAGGAACTGAAGCGGAGTCAAGGTGACTCAGAACTGAGAAGATTGGATGCCTTTTCCGTGGTGAATAACATCAACATGGCAGCTGTCGAGCTTAAATTGGGCAACTATCAGCATGCCAAATATGAGTGCTCCGAGGCCATACGCTTGGATCCCAAATGCAGCAAAGCGTTCTATAGACGAGGACAAGCGCAACGTGCCTTGCGCAACTACGAGGAGGCCATAAAAGATCTGAAGCATGCACACAGCCTGTTGCCAGAGAATAAACAAATCTTGAATGAACTGAACAGTGCCAAGCAGCTTCTGGCCGAATACAATAAACAGCAACGAAATGCGCTCAAGAATCTGTTCAACTAGTTAAGAAGGTCTATGTATATAAATATGTGTGTCAAAACATCACACCTGACTAAATGCTAAGCTGAAAAAATTGCTCTATTTACTGTAGGATGTCGCAGTTCAATGTTGACAGAAAAAGAATACAAATAATTTGTAATTAAATGTTTTTATTATACAAAATATTGAAAATTGTTGTTCAATGTTCCCAAGGGTTAATCAAAGAGCTCACTTTATATTTCAAAACTAATTGCGATCAGTGTTAAATAATTATGTATATATTATGTAATTATATCGTACTTAAAACACATTTGTTCATACACAATAATGCTCGTTCAACTCTCAACTGAATGATAGTGCCCTATAATGCTGCTTAAATACTAACAACTAAATTTGATTACATATCAAAATGAGCTTATGTCCTCACTAATTTTAAACATATGTAAGGTTCCTCTATACTTAAAGATTTGTCACAATGTCCTGCTCGCTCCGATGCAAATTGCTCGAACCAACGCCCATTGAGTAGCTCTTCATATTGATTTCCATGTTGGTTAGAGCGCTCGATACATGATACAAGTTCTCCGAGAGTATAGCATATACTTCGTACAGCTCCGAGTCCGATTTGGATACAATGAAGGCCTCTGCTGGTCAACAAAATGTGTTGCAAACAGTTCTGATAATTATTTTATTCGAACACAAACCTGTGCGATCCTTCATAATGCTATGCGCATACGCATTCAATATGATTGACATCTCATCGAACTTGATGCGACTATCCAGATTGCCATAGCTAAATATAGTCAGACTCTGATCCCCTGCGCTCAGCGTAGACACGCGTCGATACTGTCGCACATGAGAAATGGCGCTCGACCAGCGCTGCAGATTAATATGTTCGTGCAGCGACGCCTCAAATTCTTCCTGCGTCATGGGCAAGCTTGGCGAGGGCGTGGGAGTATGCTCACCCTCCGTCGAGGTGGATGACTCCAGACAATCTAGTTCTGCTTCGCTCGTACAGTGCACCAAAGCATCTCGCACCAGGGCGTAGAGATCGGATATGTCGTGCATCTTTAGGAGAAGTAAAAGTTAACATTAAGCACATTTTCCTTGACGGTTTCACTTACGTTTTCATTGACGCGAAAATGATTAACGACATTCGAGGATATTTTATGATTCGATTCAATCAGCAGAAGCAGCTGAAACATAAGCTTATACAAAGAGCGACCCAAGTCCAGAACAACTTCCGTGGAGGCGGGATCGAAGGGCATGCAGGCAATGCTGGAACTGCTGGGTAGCTCCATGCTAGAGGCCGCCACATCGGATTCATTAAAGAGGGACAGTTTGCAGGATGTCTTCACGGCGTCCAGGCACTGCAATATTGAATACCAAATGAAAAGAGATACTAATAAACGGATGTAAAAGAACTCACCTCTAGTACCTGATCTTTGCGATCGAAGAACGTCTCCAGATGCTCCTGCACTTCCAGCACATTGAATCTTAAAGTTTCCAACAGCTTCGGTGTGGTGGGCTGCATCTCACTGCACCAAACACGCGGCGGATCGGCGCGTGCACTCAATAAATCCGTAAAGAGGGATATGCGATTTCCTAGCTGTGAGCCGATGCCAGTGAAGAATTTCTTGGCCTCCTTGGAAATGCTGATTGTCTTGAAGGTCAGCTCCTTGACCAGCCTATACAGCTGCTGCAGCAGCTCAGAAGTGTGCGCCGAGGGTTGATTGACCAGCATCGACTGCAGTTGACGACGCCAGTTCTCCTCAGCCTCATCTCGCACGGCGGCCCCAAAGCGTATGATGCCCTGCATATGCGGCGAGGCATTGCATGGCGTGATATCGCCCAAGTCTCCAGCACTTGAGCCGCTGGTGTCACTGCGAGACACCGAATTACGACGACGCCGCTCCCGCAAACTCAGTGAAGAAGGTGGTGCGCCGCCTAGGAAGGACTTCAAGAACGATTGGCGGTGATCGTCGTCCAGCGGAGATTCCGACTCGGCTTCTTCATCAGATGAATCGTCTGCGGTCTGTCGCTTGCGCTTACTCAGAATGGGTGTCTTATCGCTGAAGCTATCCTCCAGCGCCGACGAATGGCCGCCCTTGATAGAGCCGCCCATGCCGCTGCCGAGATTCAAAAGATCTTCATCACCCTCAAAGAGCTGATGGCGACGCACGCCCCAATTAAAGTTATCCGTGGATTCACCGGCAATGCTGTCCTCGTACTCCAGGAAGTCGAAGTCCTTGAACACGGTAAAATCGGGCTGACCATCGTCGCGACGTGAACCGCTGCTCAGATCGCCCTGCGGACCTGATGTCTCCTCCGTGGATGAGGCGGCCGATGATTGCCGTTCCATGAGATCCGACGATTGGCTGAAGATGACCTGAATATTGGAAAATAAACATTGGATTAGTACGCAATCTAGGCAGAGAGCCCATGCAGTATAAACACTCAAGTAGATATGTGGAGTCGAACATTAAGTAAGAAAAGAGTGGAAAGCTTACGCTTTGTCTGGTCGCAATCGATCCTGTTAGTAGCGATGTGCTCAGAGACTGAACGTATTAAAACGAAGAAAAACGAAACGAACAGTTTGAAATAAAACAGAGACACATGCAACAAGTTAAGAGTGCGCAACGAAAGAAAAATGCAAATGAAACAAAAAAGAACTAGCGATGCCCAAAAGAGATGTCCCAGACTGAGAACACGCCTTCAGCATGTGTACGAAATGTGTGGAATGAAACGAATGAGGGATGCATAAAGGTACACGTGAAATGAAACGAGCCAAAACAAATTACGTAAACAAAGACAAAGCTACACGTGACATTGAGAAACATGTTCTTTTACCTTTGAGCAAATAGAGTTTAGAAAATCGTCCTATAATTAGGTTTGGTTCGGGTTGTTAATGATGATATATAATGGCGTGTTAGATTTGGTTTGATATCGGAATTGGTTTATATCAACATTGATTTATAATTTAGTTTATATTTTTGTTTGTTACATGAAAGAAAAAGAATCAGAAATAAATAATTTGGTAGAGATGATGGCCACATTAGAAAGCAGGAGCTGAAAAAGCTAGCGCTAGGGGAGCTCAAAGCATGCACCTGGCTAATGTACAAGCTGGAAACCCCCATTCGAACCCCTTGTGGCCAGAAACTTACCGATGGCGACTTGGGCAAGCCGACCCGCTGTCCACAGGTGGTCAACAGATTGACCAGGCACTCGCGCACCCGGCACTGCGACATCCAGGGACGCTTCCAGCCGCTCAGCGGCACGGTATCCGCCGGCGATAGGCTGGCACTGCGCCTGGGTGAGTTGGGTGTGCCAACAACACTGCCCAGGCCAATGCCGTGCTGCTGCTGCTGCTGGTGCTGCTGGGCAGCGGCGGCAGAGGCGCCAATGGCAGCCACATTCCCATGGGCGCGCTGTTGCTGCAGCTGTGCGCCCGCCTGCTGTGCAGGTGCTACTGTCACGGTGGTGGCATTGGTCAGTGTGGAGTTTAGCGACGAGCTGCCCGTGGCGGATGCTGCAGAGCCTGATGTGGGCTCCTCGGTTTTGAGCAAGATGCGACGTCCGATCAGCGGAGTTTGCGACACGTCGAAGGTGAACTCCATGGTGCGGCCGGCCAGTTCCTTTTTACAGAACATATCCGAGTCCGGATATGCGCCATAGAAGGAGAACGATAAGCCGGCGCTGCTGCCATCGCTGGGCGGCACCACTTGCAGCGAAGAGCTGCGTGTAACGATCAGTTTGAGAATCTTCAAAGAGTCCTTCCAGTTCACAGTCTGCAAAATAATAGTAGCATTAGAGGAAATCCCTAAATATATATGATAAACTCACGTCCAGATATTTGCCTATGGCACGCAGCAAGTCCGCATTGATATTCTGTGCCTGTGGCGCCGATAGATCCACATAGTGTAACATGCAGTGAATGACATTGAGGACCGGCACTTGGACCTGTTGAGGCCCCTTCTCCAGTACCTCGATGAGGAAGGCCAGCATGTGGAGGCCCATGTGAGCGTATGTGTCGTGCAAGTACTTGACCACGCACTTGGTCCACTGGAATGACTCCTTGCAGAACGTTTTGCGGCTGTACAAGGTCATCACTGTGCCCAGATTCTCCAGCTTGGCGCCCAGCTCCGTGGACACGTGCGCAATATTCTCAGCGCTGCGTATGCAAATCTCATTGGCATCCTCATAGTGGAGCAGCATATACGGCAGCAGTGCAATCACGTTCATGGGAAAAGCGCAGCTCTGTGTGGGATCACAGACTGGCAGGCTAAGCAGCGGTGCGAACTGGGACAGCAGCGTGATCGTTGGCTCATAGGTGGCACTGTGGGTGCAGCCCTGATGGAAAATTGGACAAGAGTTTATTAGCTGCTTACGCTGCCTGTGATCAGTCACATTTACTCACCTTCAGAAGCAGCGCATGTACGCCGGGGTATGCGGTCCATTTGAGCTGCTGCTGCAGCTTCTCGACTTTGTCCCGCGCATCGGGTCGATCCAGCGGCAGGCGATGCAGTACGCGGGTTAGCAGACGCAGTGCCAGCAAGAACTCGTGCTCATAGTCCGACTCGAGCAGTGAAACCGATAGCCAGAATAGCTGCGCCAATATGGTCATCTTGTCATCCTGCGTGGCCGTATCGCCCAGCATCTTCAGGCTCTGTGCGCTACGTGAGCGAGACAAGGCGGAGCCAGCGCCAACGCCAACGCCGCCCACGCCAAACTTGCAGACAACACTGCGCTCCAGCTCGATGCCTGAGGCACGATTCCTCAGCTCCACCTGCTTGTCGCAGGGCGAGTTGTTGGCCTTGCGGCCGCAATAGGACACCGAGTAGCTGGTGCTGCGTCCATGACTGGGTATGGAGTAGTTGGAGGATTGCGGTGTCATGCCCGATGGCGACTTTTTGCCCGGCAGTATGGAGTTGGGCCCGCCGTCCTTGTTGTTCAAATTGGGCGTGCTCTTGAAAATGTCCTTCATGACGTCCAGCGGCCGGAAGTCAGAGTCCAAGCTGTCGACAGCAGCTTCCAGCGTCAACAGCAGCTCCGTTACATAGCCCTGCATATCCTCGCCCTGCTCCGCTACAGTCTCCACCAGGCGGGATAGAATGTCCGAGAGCATGCGCGAATTGATGGGCACATTGAGAGCGCGAAAGATTTGGAGGCAACGCCCAGCATAGTGACGCAAGGAGCAGGACAAGCCCAGCTGCAAAGCCGTCTGTGCCCATCGCTCGGCAATGCGCGCCTGTGGATAGCTATCGGCAAACACCTTGACCATGTGCTTCAGGAAACAGCTCAGCTGCTCCGCAGACTTCACCGACCACACCTTGGCTGTGATATCCTCGTAGTTCCACAGCGGCTGGCTGGTGTCCTGAGCTAGGAACTTGATCAAACTCTTGATAACATGCGCTATGGGCATGCTGGGACCCGGCTGGGGCGGAGCGTGCTCGTCCGCATGGATCAACGGCACCTCCGAGTTCTCCGTATTATTCGGATTGATCTGCAGCGCAGCGGGCGTGGCTGTCAAAGCTGCTGGCGTGGCACTCGACCCTGCGCCCTGAACTGGAGCCGGCTGCTGCTGGTTTTGCGGCGTCTGCGGCAGCGTCTGCTGGTTGGTCGAGTGCGACGCAATGATCGTCGAGCTCGAGAGATTATGCTGCAGTGCATAGGCAGCCGCCTGGGGGCTTACGTGCAGCAGATAGCTATCGAATTGCTGGTGCAGCTCCGTAAAGTTGTTGTCAATCACGGGCAGAGCGGGCACGGTCAGGCCCAAATCCAGCTTGCTCGTCTCACTGTTGAGCAGAATGCGCGCGACCGTCAGATGATCATTGTGCTCGGCCAGGACAATCAGCAAATTGACACAGAGCTGCTTGCAATGCTGGCGCACAATGACGCGGGTGTGATCGAGGCCTAGGAACAGGATGTGCAGCATCAGAGGCAAATGAAGCGTCCAATCGATGCCAGGAATGCCATCCACCACAATGTCTGTGAGCAGCATGACAGCCACATTGCAGCTGCAAGAGAAGAGATTTAGAAATTATTATAGAGCTCAAACATTCTCCAAGACATTTCATTTATATCTAATTGAATAGGTTATCAACTATGATATCATTCGTAAAAGTTCTCTTCTAATAGCATAGCTGATGATCTTCACTTTCGAAACGCGTAACCTAATGCCTGAACACATTATTTGTTGCAATTTGTTGTTTAACTCGCCAATGAATCATGTTAATTAGTATATCTTGCCAAGGGGCTTTACCTAAAAAGTGGGTCAGTTTTCTATATAAGCTGCAACTCCAACTCCCACTACTCTAATTCAGAATGAAGTTGCTGTTAATATTTCTGCTATTTACGCTTGCTCTAGCAAGCAGTTCGTCTGCCGTTGAGGGAGTATATGCTGACTTAAGACTTGATGTGGAGCCAGTGCCGGAGCCGCTCCTTGAGCTGGAGCCTCAAAACATCATCACGAATGGCTATGTAGCACCAGAGGGCAAAGTCCCGTATATTGTGGGTCTGCATTTCAGTAAAAGAAATTCAGGCGCATGGTGTGGCGGCTCTATAATTGGAAATACCTGGGTCCTAACCGCTGCACATTGCTCAAGGGGTTTCAGCCGTGTGACCATTTACTACGGCTCGAATCGTCGTGCCGAGGGCACAGTGATACACACTGTGAACGCGGACAATATCATTAACCATCCCACTCAAGATATCGCATTAATACGCACTCCACACGTGAACTTCACCGATCGCATCAGCCTGGTCAAACTACCCAGCACGAGCAGCTCCGGTGAGCGCTACGTCAATAAACGGACAACGGCCTGCGGCTGGGGTATAACAACCTCCACTAGGACACCCGACCAACTGCAATGCATCGATGCGACCGTTATATCGAACCAGCAATGTGCCAGAGTCTATGCCCCTGGCTCAATAAACAGCCAAATCCTCTGCATAAGTACTCCAGGCGGCAGATCCATTTGCTCTGGCGACTCGGGCGGACCGCTTGTCACACAGGACAATACTATTCTGATTGGCGTCAGTCAGTTTGCTTCTGCTAGAGGCTGCACAGCTGGACATCCGGCTGGCTTCACTCGCGTCACGAGTTTTCTAGCATGGATACGTCAGCACACTGACATCTCCTACTAAATCCTTATAACTATTCGCAAGCTTTATCATAATTGAAGAAGTTTTAATTCAATAAAAATTATTCACTGCAATCGATTTGCATTTTTACTCTGAGATTATTAAGTACAAATATATTTACTCTTTGTTAATAGAATAAAAAGTAACAAATATGGTGAAAGGTTTTATAAAATGTGCAATTGTAATGTAGTATAAGCCGTGTTCACCCATATTTAATCAGTATAATGTTATACTTCAAGGGTTTTCTTAAAGGTAGATGTCAAGCTGAAAAAATTGCCTATAAAAATATTTAACCCAATGACTTTCTAAAAATTTCCAATAAGGCACAACTCAATAATCGTATTAGTAACACCCTTGTAAGTTCGTATATTCCTCTCATATTTACATAACTAAAGGCTTTATTCATAAGCTCATCAAATTATAATTGTCTCAGCAATTAGTTATTGCTCTTAAACTAGTGACAAGAACTGATAAAAAAGCAATCAAGGTTTGGTCTAGCTGCTATATAAGTACCAGTAGACTCGATTCCCATCAACTTCAGCATGAAACTCCTCTTACTTATTTTGCCATTGACCATTGCCTTGGCTAGCGCCGATGAGAGCACGAACTCGTCCTCTCCCGATGATCTTGATCCCGTGTACATTATTACCAACGGATATGCAGTTGGCAAAGGCAAAATACCCTACATTGTCAGTCTGATATTGGGCACAGATGAGAGCAGCCACGTTCAATATTGCGGAGGCACAATCATTGCCAGCAACTGGATCCTGACTGCCGCCCATTGCTTAGTCACAGACTATGCGGATATACATTACGGCTCCAATCAGCGAGGCAAAGGGCTATTAAATCACAGAGTAAGGAACAACAACTTCATTCGGCATCATCTCTGGCTCAATACCAACGGCAATGACATTGGGCTGATACGCACGTCGATCTACAGCTCATGAGCAACAACGAGTGCGCGCAAGCTTATGGCCCTCTGTCGAACGGCTCATTGTGTGGCAGATCGATAAGCGGAAAGTCCACTTGTGGCGGCGACTCCGGTGGCCCCTTGGTTACACACTCTGATAGCACCTTGGTGGGAATAGCATCATTTTTCTCCGGAGCTGGCTGCATGTATGGTGACCCAGCTGGTTTCACTAGAATTACGGCTCACTTGGACTGGATACGTAAAAACTCTGGAGTTGCTTACTAAGAAACTAAACATCACCACATAGACAAAGTGTAAAACTAATAAAGGTGGATTCTATATAAACATAGTTTATAGATATGTCTTAAGCCCTTATCAATAAACCATTATCTTGTATAGCTTATTTCTATTATCATAATATATATTATCATCAGACAATTCTAAACGATGACGTAATTAATTCATAATACAGACTATAAAAGATCGTAACTGCTCGCGATCCAATCACATTCTACTCAAGTATGACAGCTCTCGTGCTATTGCTTTCATTGGCTTTTGCCGCTGCTTCTGCAAACAACAATCAGACAACGATAAAGATCTCGCCGGAGGATCTGCCTGTCGGTGTTTTTATTAGCAATGGCTATCCTGCACCCGAAGGCAAGGCTCCCTACATTGTCAGTCTGCTGATAAGAACGGATAACAGCAATAGAGTTGCAATAGGCGGCGGCACCATCATCGGCAACACCTGGGTCCTGACAGCAGCTCATTGTCTAACCACGGACTATGTGGAAATCCATTACGGCTCCACTTGGCGAGGCAATGGCCAATACTATCACAGTGTTCGAAAGGAGAACTTCATTCGCCACCATCTCTGGCCCGATACCAATGGCAATGACATCGGCTTGATACGCACTCCGCACGTTGACTTTACGCCAACAGTCAACAAGGTTAACCTGCCCAGCTTCAGCCAACAGAACGAGCTCTTCGAGAACTGGTGGGCAGTAACTTGTGGCTGGGGAGGACAGGCCAATGGACAATTGGCTGATTGGCTGCAGTGCGTCGATCTACAAATCATGAGCAACAACGAGTGCTCAAAGACCTATGGCAATCTACCAAACGGCATACTGTGTGTGGGTACACCAGATGGAAAATCCACCTGCGGCGGTGACTCCGGTGGCCCGTTGGTAACACACGATAATCCCATTCTAGTGGGCGTAACATCTTTTGGTTCGGCAGCTGGCTGCATGCTCGGACACCCAGCTGGATTTACGCGCGTGACCGCTCACTTGGACTGGATACGTGAACACTCTGGAATTGCTTACTAATTAGCTCCAATTTGCATATATAACCATCTAATATGTTGTAATGCATACATCTATAAACTTATCTTTTCTATCATTAAATAATACATAATCGTATTTTAATATTTTCTTAACGTTGTCTCTAGCTTGTGTTAAAAATTAAAAAGCATTAGAAATATTATATTTCCACTTAAGAGTCAGATACTAGCTAATGTCTTAGCTCATTAATAATCAATCATTATCTTCTATGCAAATATTTTTAGTATTTTCATTCACAGTTCCTAGGAAAAAGAAGTGTAATTACTTTCTGCATCCAGCTATAAAAGATCGGAACCGTAAAAGTCATATTCACTTTCTAGTTAAGCATGAAAGTTCTTCTCGTAATATTTTCATTGGCCTTTGCCTTTGCTTCTGCAGAAGACAATCAGACCGAGATCACACCAGAACCAGACGATTATGAACCCAGCAACATCATCACCAATGGCTATGCAGCCTATGAAGGCAAAGCGCCCTACATCGTCAGTCTGCTGATAAGAACTGATAACAGCAATAGAGTTGCAATAGGCGGCGGCACCATCATCGGCCACAATTGGGTTCTGACTGCCGCCCATTGTCTAACCACGGACTATGTGGACATTCATTATGGCTCCAATTGGCGTGGCAATGGCCAATACTACCACAGTGTGCGGAAGAACAACTTCATCCGTCACCATCTCTGGCCCAATACCAATGGCAATGACATTGGCCTGATACGCACTCCGCACGTTGACTTTACATCGAGGGTGAACAAGGTAAATCTCCCCAAATTTAATCAACAGAACGAGCTCTTTGAGAACTGGTGGACAGTTGCGTGTGGTTGGGGCGGGCAGGCGAATGGAAAACTGGCTGACTGGCTGCAGTGCGTCGATCTACAAATCATGAGCAACAACGAGTGCTCTAGGAGCTATGGCAATCTGCCCAATGGCATATTGTGTGTGAAAACACCTGGTGGAAAATCCACCTGCGGTGGTGACTCCGGTGGCCCCTTGGTGACGCACGATAACCCTATTCTAGTGGGCATAACATCATTTGGCTCGGCAGCTGGCTGCACAGTCGGCCACCCAGCTGGGTTTACCCGCGTGACCGCTCACTTGGACTGGATACGCAAAAATTCTGGTATTGCGTACTACTAAGCAATAAGGGTTTTTAGAGCTATGTAAAAATACAATAAAAATGCATTCTATATCAAATTACTCTTATGGATAGTTAAAGTTGAAAAATCTAAACTAATTTTAGTGAAATTAGCCATGGACGTGAACTATCCATTTGAATGAGTAATGTCTTATGCCATTAGCTATCTACAATTATCTTCAATTACCATTTTTTATTACAATTATCATTTGCTATCACCAGAGTTAGCTCAGCGCATGGTGTAATTAGTAGGTAGAGTTTTCTATATAAGATCGTAGCTGCAAGTATTTTTACTTTCAAATTAAGAATGAACGCTTACGCTCAAGTTCTATTGCTGGCTTTGGCCTGCGCCGCTGCAAGTGCCAATCAGACGACCTCAACGGATGAGGAGCATAATCCCAGCAATATCATAGCCAATGGCTATGCAGCCTACCAAGGCAAAGCGCCCTACATTGTCAGCCTGCTATTGCAAAACTATGACGAAACTCCAGTTGATATTTGCAGTGGCGTAATCATCTCTTATGATTATGTGCTGACTGCCGCCCAGTGCCTGAGGACGGAAGTCGTGGAGGTTCATTTCGGTGCCATCTCCCGAGGCAATGGTCAACCTAATTTTAAAGCTTACGAATATGATTTCATTCGTCACGAGAACTGGCCCATCTTCGGCTATGACATCGGACTGATTCGCACTCCCTACGTGGAATTCTCAGCAACCGTAAACAAGATAAATTTGCCAAGACTTAGTCAAAAGAACGAACGCTTCGAGAACTGGTGGGCAACCGCCTGTGGCTGGGGAAAACTGGCCAATGGCCAAACTGCCGATAGGCTGCAGTGCGTCGATCTACAAATCATCACTAATAATGAGTGCTATGAGAGCTATGGCGTTCTGCCGTCGAGCATAGTGTGTGCCAGAACCACAAGCGGAAAGTCCACATGTAGTGGTGATACTGGCGGCCCACTGGTAGCCCATGACGAGCCCGTTTTGGTGGGCCTAACATCATTCAATTCGGCGGATGGCTGCACGTTCGGAAAACCAGCTGGCTTCATCCGTATCACCTCCCACTTAGATTGGATACAGTCTAACACGGGAATTTCTTACGAATAATGTGTTTGAGTCTTTCAAAATAATAAAAGAGCATTCATTAAAGCAAACACTTTTAACTCTTCTATTTCTCCCTGTGGAGTTACCAAACGATGATAATTTGCTTTTCACTCACCGATGGAATCCGCTGATGGGTAAGCTGACATCGGGTAAAAATTCGGTAAGTGGCGCAAAGTAACCGCCATATTCGGGCATGGGCAGCGGGTGGGGATGTGGATTGGCCGGCGCCTCCGCTGTATTCCGCAGCTCCACATTCTCCTCCTGCCGAAGCTCAGGGTCATTGATTAGTATATCCTCGGGTCGCGGCAGTATGGACGGACCTGAGGCAGCACGTATTTTATCAGCACCCCGAGGCGGACGACTGCCTCCGGTAATGGGCGTAACAGCAGCGGCAGCTGCAGCCGCGGCGGCCTGTGTATAGGCGCGTATGCCGCTGTCCGATTTGCAGGTGCTGCAAACGACCAAATGAACAAATTAGTTTAAGGTGCCTTTAGCATTTTAATGCTTTATAACAAACCCAATTTTAATGGGATCCTCGCCGCTGTGCCGCTTGGTGTGTATAGTGCCCTTCTCGACGGTCAGGTCCTGGGTGCGCGAATCGTTAATGCCGCCCACAGGTTGTCCTGCAAAACAGAGAGAAAAGTCTCAATTGAGTTTCTTAAATCAAACTTCAAACTGTGACTTACCATCGGCGCTATGACTGGAAGCCTTTCGCATGCTGGTCAGCCTGTAGAAGGGCGGTGTTTCAGTGCGCTCGATAAGGCAGTTGAGTGTCTCCACTGTCTGCAGCTCGGCCATTAGCTCATCAAGCAAGCGATCCGGACAGCTGCGTGCCAAATAGAGAGCCACGCGCTTAGCCTGTAAATATATCTAAATTAATTGCCGAAAACGTGGCCAAAATGCATGTCACTTACATAGGGCAACAGCTCGGTGGGTGCCATGCCACTCATAATGACCAGATAGCGCAGGATGACCTTTAGATTGTTGGGCCAGAACTGGCACAAGGTGCCCCACAGCTCCTCAATATCGCGCGGATGTGCATCCGAAAACTACAGACAGACAGGACAATAGAGAAAGAGAGAGGGAGACAGAGAGAGAGAGAGGGAGTTAAGCAGTGCATTAATATAAATGTTTAGTCTACTCACCTTGGCAGTTATATAAAATAGATTATTCAAAATCATTTCTGTGGCCTCCGTTGAGCCGGTGCCCTCACGACGTCCGCGTGTGCCCGAGTCGGGGAAATACTGCAAATGAAGCATAGTAATAGAGCAGACAAGAAACTATAAAGGCACGCCTACCATTATATAGGAAAGGGGCGTGGCAGGCGGCACACTCGTCGCAACCAGTTCCATGTTCTGCAGCCAGGGCAGCAGACACTGCAGCAGCAAGGCACGCACATCTTCACGTGCGCTCTGAAAACGATGCGTTATCTCTGCAAAGACATATAAAAAGCGGAAATCAACTGATGTCTGCTGCTGCCTAACAGTCGTCGTAACTTACCCGAAAATATGGACATGGTGAGCTCGGGTCGCAGGTGCGCCAGCTGCTTGGAGAGGAAACGCTGCGAGCGACAATAGGCATTACTCAGCAGCTCATCCAGTGTGCCAACTTTATCATCTTCTGAAAGGGAACAAAAAGCAAAAGTGAAAGTGAAAGTTTAGTGAATGAAGAATACCAAAAAAAAACATCATATGAAACAGATACGCAAAAATGGAAACCCAACCACATATATTACGTCCGGCCATTTTGTGGTTCTGCCGCAGCTGAATGCCCGGCAACAACTGAATGCAGCCGGCGAGGGCATGGCGTAGGCAACTCGTGTTTCCAGTTGGCAGAAAGCTTAGAGCCGGCACTGGAAAGCCTCGAAGTCAGTGTTTATGTTTACTTCAAACTGTGCCAGCAGACAACAACTAAAAGCCACTAACACAATTACAACTCCTGTTGACAATAGCTACACCACTCTCTCTCTCTCTCTCTCTCTCTCTCTTTCCTAGCCCAGAATTAGATGGCGGCCCACTTGTTGGGCCGCCTCTAGCCCGTGACCTTGCCACCTGTTGATTCTATGAATGAAATGGCGACATTTGGCACTGCGCCGACTCCAGACTGCAGGCGAAAAGCTTTCCGGCATTTTTCGCGCCTTCCAATGGCGGCGAAATGAACCGAATCGCTTATAAACTCGCCTCGGCCATTGTCTCGGCTTAGTTGCGCGCGTATTGTCCTGCAGGCCGGATGCCCTCTCAGCGAGTCGGAATTCTCTGAGCCCAGCAACGTAATAAAAAGCGCCGTCGGTAAAATTCAGCGTGCTCCATTGGACAATTAATAGACTAATAAATAGCGCAAGAAAGGAGCACAAAAAAAAAAGAAGAACTTTAAAGCCAAACGGAAAGTTTGTCAAACTTTTATTAAAAATCAAAAACTTTTCCTCGGACACTTGTCCGATTTCAGAGCGTGTGAAAAAGTTCTTCGAACAAAATCAAATTAAGAAAAAAAATTAAAAAAGAAATAAATAAAAGTAAAAAATCAAACGTTAAAAGTTAAGAAACCATTGGAAAAAAGAAGAAAAACTTTGATATAATAATTTTTCGCTGATAATAGCGTGGCACTTCCTAAAACTTGAAATGAACAAAATTTATTTCGTACTTCACGGCGCGTGCAAAAAGCAGAAAATTAAATAGGCTCAACTGTATATACATATATCTTTTCTTTTTTTTTTCAAGAAAAAAATAACTAAAAAACTTTAACAGAACTTGTTGAAGTTGCGAAAAAAAATCTGTTAAAAGTATTCAAACTTAAAAACTTTCACATTCAACTACTTGCTTCTTTGTTTTGTTACGGAATGTAAAGTGAAATGAACTTTATATTAAGTAGTCTATATAGTATACGCATAGTGGACTGCCTAGGCTAACTATAGGACATAGGTCAGGGCAAAAGGTTAGCAATACCATAGCTAAGACAATGAGCAGGAGTCCTATATAAGGCATTCCTTTATCTATTTGACATCTGTTGAAATAACTTAGTCATTTTGCAATTAGTTATCAAATATTATTTTCATTTTCATATAACAAGAATAGATTTGGTATAAATTCAAAATTAAAGAGTAATATTCACTATATACTATAGTAAAAACAATTTTCTATTTTAATTTATATTTATATAGGGTATGCAGGGTCTATAATCTCCCTACTTAGTATCTCTAAAGCTTATTATTTTATTTTCCTCAAGTTTGCTGCAGAGCAGAAAAGTTTTTAGCTAGAAAATACACGGAAACTGTGGCCGTAGTAGTTTATTATTTGAAGCTCTCTGCCATTTTTATTTATCTCCAGCCCAGCAGAGAGTTGAGTCGTATTAAATTTGCATTTGTTTTGGTTTCTCTGTGCCGTGTAGTAGTAAAGGGGAAATTAAATGCTAACAACAACTAAAAATAGTTGCAGCTGTTAAGAAGGAATTGCAAAATGCAGTAAAGTCGCCTCGTTAAAGTACCGGGAAATTGTGTGACTAACGCAGCCACCGTTGACTTTGCAGCGAACCCAGCTCAAGCGCAATTATGGCTAATCCTTACGAGGCAGCCGTGTCGAACGTAAGCCAGGACATATCAACAGCATCTACCGTGAATGGCACCTTTCTCGACTACGCTACTGCAACGGATGACAGCAGAAATGCCAGCGACGACATGGACATGGACTTCATGTCCGTCGAGGATGAGGAAATGCTGCGAATCGCATACCTCATTGGGGATATTGTGAATAGATATTACGTGCCCATCATCTGCTGCACGGGCAGCATTGGCAACATACTCTCCGTCTTTGTTTTCTTCATGACAAAGCTACGCAAATTATCGTCGAGCTTCTATTTGGCCGCATTGGCCATCAGCGATACCTGTTTCCTGTGCGGCCTATTCATGCAGTGGCTCAACTTTCTCAACGTGAACATCTACAATAAGAATTATTTCTGCCAGTTCTTCACGTTCTTCAGCTATTTGGCCAGCTTCTGTTCGGTGTGGTTTGTTGTTGCCTTCACCGTGGAGCGTTTCATAGCGGTCATGTATCCGCTAAAGCGTCAAATTATGTGCACCGTACGTCGCGCGAAAATCGTTCTATTCGGCCTCACATTAGCTGGGTGTGTGCACTGTGTGCCGTATATATTGATTGCCAAGCCTGTCTACAGTCCCAAATTGAATGATACCATATGCGATTTGAACACCTCCTATAACGTGAGTAATACTTTCACACTACGACTCCAACTACAACAAACAACGACAGTTTACCACGCCAGACCTATGTTCGCTAGTTGAATGAAGCACGCCCCGTATTCGCACACTAACTCATTCATTCACACATTCATTCATCCCACATTCATATCCATATCAAACATGAAAAGCCTTTCTATTGCATATTTGTAATTCCAGATACTGGTCGCTGAACGCTTTAAGTGGGTTGCCATTGGCAACTGGCAGCGACTAGTGCCAAGAATGTTGCAAGTGAACGACCAACAAAAGGTTGCCACAAAAGCACAGACTACGGCACATCCCGCCGTAAATTCTCTGAATTCACCATATGCGCGCATCACATATTCAAAATGCTTGACTTTGTTTGTTCTTTGTTATGCTGCTTCAGTCTATAGAATTTATACGATTTCGCACATACATAGCTCATAAATCAAAGCGAAATCAACAACAACAAAATTGAAGAAATACAAAAAATAAAGAAACACTTCACGCGTGGCCCAACTTAATTGATGTGATTATCAGTGATATATTGAAATTCAAATTCAGGTAGCATATACTGTCTGTCAAAAGCAGTTGAAATTTATTTGAAATATTCTATTTTCATAATGCATAAGTATTATTTTTCAAATGTATTCCATAGTTTACACTCGAATGGCTACCCTTTGCTCAACATTCCGTGTGGTTCATAGGATCTCAGAATCAATTTAAGCAACAGCTTCAGCAAAAACGTAAAAACGAATGGCCAAGCACTTGTCCGTTATTTCGCTCTCCGTTCAGTTGATTTCCTGTCGAAAACATTTCTGTTCTCTGATGTCTTTTTTACTGCTGCTGATAAGACTCTTATCGCACAATATGTTAAATCGAATCGAAAAATCTCTTTGTCCGCTGAGCACTGAATGTCTGCCTCTTAAATTAATAGCTGCGCAGTTGAGTGGGCATCCAACTAAAGCTCAAATCTTAAAGTTTGCGGGAAAAAAGGAACGGAAGAACATGTTAAGACAAGTGCGTCAACGAGAGGAAAAAACCAAGTACAAAAATAAAAAGGAAAACAACAATGATGACACTTCGTAAACGTTACCAATTAATCAAACGCACAGTTTATTTAGCCAACTGCTGAGTGAGTTAGGCACAAATTGACAATTTATTAAGAAAGACAACAAATTAGGGGCACAAATGTGGCCCACAGCGCAGCAGCATGCCATCAAAGGCCAAAGGGCTGGGAGCAAACCTCAAGTTGGCTACGAATATGAAATACCTTGGAAAGGTTCTAAGACAAACTCAAGTCTTTGCCATCAGCATGCATATGGAAAACTAATGTACTGCTTCGACTATTCTCAGAATAAACCACTTCATTAAGAGTATCCTTTCACTCGACCCCAAGATAGTTACTCACTCCACTGGCCTATCCTCTACAGGGTATACAAATGCGTTGTACGACTAACCGCAACTAAAACTAAGGCAAACAATTTCTTTTTTAACCACAAGTCAAACAATTGCTACACAAGCCAGAGCCCTTGGGCTAGCTATAGGTGTGTCCGATGGTCGAACAGGCGCACCAAAAAAAGAGAAAAAATAAACTTCTCTCACCCACACATAAAAGAGGTAGGAGCTGGCAGGCACTGAATGGCGCTCGCCCAATAAAAACTTCCCTAGGCAATTCGTTAAATCTCAAATTTCTATTTACAAACATAGTTTATATGTGTACATATATTGGATATTGTATGGACGCCCCGATGGGCATGGTATAGGCCCTGAAATTCGATGCTAATTTTCAGACAGTGCAAGTCAAACAAACCGAACAAAATGTCTAGCTTCTAAAGCGACATGAAGCAGGAGCAGCGATCGCAGCTATTAGCCAAATTGGACTCGGCAACAACTGAGCCGTAAAGTTGGCAACAAAGCCGCGCCTATCAAAATGATAAAGTGGCCCGAAATTGTCGCATTGTCAAGAACAATACGTTGTATATATATATATGTATATGTATATACATTTCAGGCATTCAAATCCAATCAGTAACGCCAAAATAAAAGAGAAAATAAAACGAAAATGAAAATGAAAGCACAGACACTGCCACTTTGCTGCTGCCGTTGCTTGGCGAACGTGTCGTATGAGCGATGTGGACATATCTTTGTCCTTTTGAAAACTTTGTAGATCGATGGTTAAACGTGGGCATTGCCAAAAAAGAAACAAAACAAAATTGAAAATTATGCAAGGCGACAACAACATTTCTCACTTCTCCTTTGACACGGGCTGTATCTATGTCCGCATTGAAAGCAGCTGTTGCTGCTGCTATTGCTGCTTCTCTGGCTCCTGCTCTAGTAACTTATTCACTGAATCTGCGCAAATTACACAGGAATTTCAGCCATGTGCCAGCCAGACGACAGGCGTTGGCCCGGACTCGCACACAAATGAATTAAATTAAATTAGATGTAATTGTTAGTAAGTACATTAGAATGTATAAATAGTCTGCATTAGCAAATGGCCCATGAAATATGTTCCGGAACGAAACATAACGAGCTGCTGTAATTAGGCCCACATATCTGAAAAGTGCGTGGGACATTAAGCCAACAAGCAGAGTCCGAAAATATAAAGTTTTGAGCAAGGGAAGACATCTCCCATGTCTACTCTAGCCCAGTCAGTCTCTCTGCCATGGTATTTTGAATATAAGGGCATCTCAACTTAGGCATTTTACAGCAATTATGATGATTTTCAATTGTCATCATTATCAATTAAATTTGCTATTTCACTTTACTCTCTCGGTCAGGAAGTTGTGCACATTGAAAGCAAGTTGATGCTGTCCTAATCACAGACATATTTGCTGAGGCCTGTTAGATTGATAATATATAAATAAAGATATATATATATATACTGCCTTTAAATCAACCAAGCTGCTGCCAACAGTCATAGGGCTTAGTTTATTGTCAACCGAGGGACGTGTTTGATTAAAATTGCGTCTTATCAATGTGCCAGGCACAATTGTTGACAATTTCCAGCAGCAGCTGGTCAACTGCAACACATCCCTGCTAGAATAAATATGTAAGCCATATGTATACGGAAAAGAACTCAAATTGAAAGTGTGGCCGCCCATCCACCCAAAGCCAATGCCACAGACAAATCACTCAATGCTGCAACAGTCTTAGCCCCATCCAAATTGGAAAATTAATACAAAAACTTGTAAAAGGATATTGCAAAGGCATTTACAGCATATGCCACAACAGCAACAACAACAGCAACACTAACAATTGATTGGAAATTGAAGAGTTATTATGCTTTTGATCCATTCAAGCCAAAAGCAATTGCTGAATTTTCCCAAAAATTGAAAAAGGCTCAGGAAAATTACTTAAACTAATTGCATTTCGAACCGTATCGTAATCTATCCAACACTATAAATAGCTGAATGTCCTAAGGTCATACATAATTACAATGGCTTACACAAAGGAATCCAAGAATATTATCTTACATTGGCTCATTACGGCCCTTTGGCTAAATTTGCAAACTGATTTTATTTTACCTTAAGCATTCAGCGTCCAATTTCCGTGCAATATATTCATTAATTACTTCCGAGTGTTAATTGCGTACAATTGTATAAGTGTTTATTAAACAAAAATCCGGCATTTTTCTGGCTGGCAAATAATTTAATTCGGGTAGCTGCAGCAGCTGATATGATTAATTTTAATTAATTCACTTAATTACCCATATTTATTTTTATTGCTTTACATTACTTCTTTTTTGTCGGCTTAAATGCGAGCCGAAAATCAATTAAATTAAACAGCACACAATTGAAATTTTCTGGGAAAGAGGTCTTCATCTGTTTGAAGAGGGGTTTTAAAAATAAATGGCATATTAAGGAGGAACAAGTTGATTAAGAGCTCAGATTAGGATGCTCTAAATAGAAGGAAAGGTACATAAATAACTTTTAATGTTGTTCGTTTCACAACTTGAATAAATATTTAAACATAACACTTCTGTTGACCTTTTATTAAATTTCAGAAAAAGGGAACAATTTAGCCAGAAAACCCAATTAAAAAGTTTTTTTTTTCTCTTTTGCTTAGCTAGTTAACAATATTAATTTACTTTTCTCTCGAAAACTCACAAAAAAATAAGCGCATTTTTAGCACAAATTTTCGAAAAAACAAACTCAAAAATGATCTAGTTTTCTGTTCAGTTTGCTGCACTTTTTAATTGTTTTTAAGCCAATGCAATTCGATTTGTCAGCACAGTCGCACAACTGCAATTCATTACGTATACGCCTCGGCGACCCGCGCCACAATCCCAATTTGATCAGGGCCACAAACACAAACACACAAACACACACACACACAAACACACTTACACAGAAATGGCATACGTATTTCTAATGAAATTTGGATTTTATTACAGGAGCAACTGGCTCTATTCAACTACTGGGACTCGATTGTTGTCTATGCGGTGCCCTTTACAACCATCACCGTGCTGAACACCTGCACGGGCTGCACCGTTTGGAAATTTGCTACCGTTCGACGCACACTCACAATGCACAAGATGTGAGTTGACATTGTCGTTGGTTGCATTCGATATTTATGTGATATGTGATTGCAATTTCGCAAAAATGCCGTGCACATCTATGACAAATATAATACAATATCTATCTATATATGTATATATAAGTAGAAAAGTCCAATTTTAATCTAATCAAGTATGTTTTCCTTTTGTTACACGCAACGCTGCAGGAAGCCACAGATGACAAATATTCCAGCGAATGCTGCTTCCAGTTATCGCAGTGCAGCATCGTTGAAGCGTCAAAAGTCAACGGGCACACACCCGAGCGGACAGCACAGTGTATCAAGGCATACCGAACAGGACCAGCAACAGCAGCCACGACAGGAAGTCGGAAGGCCCCAGCATCATTGCGAGATAACACAGAAACCATCAGGTGGGTAACGGCAAGTTTCGTTGCATTTGGTTGACAAGACCACACATAAGCAGCTTACTTGCAACAAGCTGTGAGGCAGCAATACAAACAAGCACAAACACACCCGCACGCACACGCACACACGCATACATTGACAGACTCATGCACAACTGCAGTCAACTTGTTGGCAAACTTTATTAACTTTCCTACAATTAATCACGCCTGAGAAGCAGCGTGAAAGTGCCAACTACTTAAGAGTTCTTGCACTGCGAGTTGCTGGCAAAACAAAAAGTTGGACCTAAATAAATGCCAAGTAATTTACATATATCTCATCATATCATATAACTAATGTGACACTTTGACTTGATGTTGCAGGACGTCGCAAGGTGCAGAACTCATCCCAGCTAAAGGTAACCAAAATGTTGCTCGTCGTCTCCACGGTTTTCGTCTGCCTCAATTTGCCGAGCTGCTTGTTGCGCATCGAGACCTACTGGGAGGTGAGTTTATTATTATGTGAAGAGCATAGCCGGGTAATAATCGCCAATAGAACTCGCTCCGAGCTATCAAAACATTGCCAACAGCAGGACAGTTCCCATTAATATGCATACTTCGGAAGTGCCACAAAGGCTCTTTGATTACGTATACGCTGCGTGTGCCGCCCAAAGTTTAACTTCAAAAACCATCGCAACACGTGTGTGTGTGTGATACATTTGATAGACTTAATTAAAGTTGATCAAGCATGATGATAACAGACTGTAGAGAGCTATATATATATATATATATATATATATATATATATATATATATATATATAT